TTACAGATACAATAGAATTAATTTCCGATTCCTCAAACAAAGTCTTTGCGATCCAAAAGACAAAACTATACCGTTCTTGACCAGCGGTGTCCCATATCTGAGCTTTGACGGTTTTATTATCGATTGAAAGTGTCCTGGTCTGGAACTCGACACCGATCGTCGCCTTGGATTCGATACTGAATTCGTTCCTAGAAAACCTAGCCAGGAGCTGTGATTTCCCGACCGCAGAATCGCCAATCAACACTACCTTGAACACATAATCTATCTTCTGATTGAAATTGCTTTGAAAGTTTGACATCGGAGGAGAGGATTAAAGTTACAGCTGATCTGAAGTAAATGAGCGAAATAAGATATGTTTGTATGATCTGGGTCCAGATCCTGTTGGGGTCAGCACGTTGAGAGAGAGAGAGAGAATGACCGGGAAAAGATTTGACCGATATAAAGCACAAAGTGTGTTGCGACTTGCGAGCATAGCCTGACGTGAGGGGAACAAACGAGGAAGCGGCTCGAACAAAGTGGGTCCCGCCTTTTTTTTTTTTTTAACTCCATTTGCTTCTCAATTTCATTTATGGGTCAATTTGTTCAGTAACAAAAAAAAATTAATAATCAACTAAATAACCAAAATTGCTATATATGGCAAAATAATGACCATTAGATTTAGGACATTTGATTAGGATTTTAAATATAATTTTCTGTATGGTTATTGATGCCAATTACCCTTCATTCAAAATGTGTCATTTATCAAAATGCACTATTCCGATAAAAAAAAATGCACTATTAATGTAATGAAAAAGACTATCATGCTTCTTAAAATTAAAAATACTATTATGTCTCTAGTTATACCATCGTCTCTGTTTTGGTTCACCACTGTTTTTGTCTCTGCCCACCATCATCTTTGTTTCTGTAACAATCGTCTCCGTCTTCGTTTTCATCCACAATCAGTGTCACGTTTTCGTCCACAATCATTTTCCACAACTAGCGTCTTCATCTTTGTTCACAATCATTGTCTCCATTTTTGTCCAAAACTACCGTCTTCGTCTTTGTTTCCATCCACAACCACCGTCACTACCATTGTAACGTCCCAGATCATCACTGACCGGGACGCCACAATAGATACCCGTAGACCGGCCGACAGAGGTTATTAGAATGGATCCAGCTTCTCGAATCAACCTGTCTGAGATACCTTTACCTCTTGATCGCGGTCTAAAGCTTTGCAACCTGTACCATGACCACGAGTTGTGTTAGTCTGGACAAGGCTAATATCCGTTTAACACCTATTATTTCATAAAATCATACTTTTTTTATTTGCAATAATC